AAAAGTGTGGTTTTGAACTCTATATCCAGTAGTTTGCTTTCCTCCATTTCTGTCATTTGTGTCCTTTTTCTTTGTCTCCGCATTTTTTATGCTTCCTTGTGTTGATAAAGTGGTTTTCTGTGCTAAGTGTCCTCTAGGGCCCAGTGGTTCAGCCTCCCGAATTACCTGAGGAGGACACTTTTGGTGCACCCCCTTGTGGTCTTTGTGTACAGTCTTCAAGGTACGTGCCCTTGACTGGGACCAAAACCAGGGACGCTTCAGTTTGAGGGTCTAACCACTGAGCAACCTAACAGGGCTGCTTCAGTAGGTTTCATTGCCAACAAGTGGCCCAGCTGTGTGGATGCCTGCGGTCGGGGGCCATAGCTGAAGAGGCAGGAGTGACTGAATTGTTTGACACAAGGGACCCATTCACCCTCCTCCTGAGTCCTAACTCTCCCCACAGGACAATGTCCGGGTGTGGGTACCAGGGTGGTGATAAGCAGACATCCGGGACACACAGCAGGGTCCATCTCGTGTGGGCTGGACATCCAGGGAGGTGTCCCAGACACTGAAATGACCCCTCTTTTTTCAAAAAGACTTTGCAGACCTGGAGTCACCACAGAGCAGTCAGCACAGTTACCACACTGGGCAACCAGAGAGATCTGACCAGCAGAGTCAGTCATACAGGAGAATCCCCTGGGGAGCCACACCCCACACCAGGCAAACCCTTATCTGTGGGTGTGGCCACCAAGCCCGGGTGGGGGAGAGACTCCGTAAGTTGAGCATCATCTTGTGCAGCAAAAGATAGATTCAATCCTTGGAACAGGTGCCTACAGGGAGCAACAAATCTCTCTCTCTCTCTCTCTCTCTCTCTCTCTCTCTCTCTCTCTCTCCAACCACGATGCTCAGTGAAATGCAAATGTCAGATAAAGGAATAATTTAGAAGACACATATCTAAAAAATGCTGTGGCCTTGGCTGGTTTGGCTCAGTAGATAGAGTGTTGGCCTGCAGACTGAAGGGTCCCAAGTTCAATTCCATTCAAGGGCACATGTGCGGGTTTCAGGCTGCATCCCCAGTAGGGGGCGTGCAGGAGGCAGCCGATCCATGATTCTCTCATCATTGATGTGTCCATCTCTCCCTTCCCTCTGCCTTCCCCTTAGAAATCAATACAAATATATATAGAAAATAAAAAATGTGGTGTATCTGACATCCACATTGCACTTGGTATTCTGTAGGGAATCTGGCCACTCTCCTGGGGCCTCCCTATTTTACATAAAAATAAAGGACAACAGAGGACAAACAAGAGATAATCATTGAATCATGAAATGTTTATTGAAACAAACAGCAAGACTGACAGAGTATGGGGCCAATAGGAAACATGAATAATTACTCAAGGACCCCAATTCTAATTCATAGAACCCCGTCTGTCTAAGTGCTCATAGACCATTTTTGCATCAAAAGTTTCAGTTACCAATCTGTTACACCTTCACCAGAGGGACACACACAGGAGAGAGACCCGTTAATGTCCTTCTTGGTCAGAAGGGACCTGGGGCACCTCCTTGACATGTGTCCTTTGGTGACGTTTAAACGTCGACAGGTAGCGGAAGGCCAGGTGGCAATGGGGACACAGGTAGGGTCTCAGGCCCGTGTGGGTGCGCATGTGGACGTGGAGATTCCCGCGGTGGAGGAAACTTTTGTGGCAGACGGCGCACTCGTATGGATTGTCCTGGGTGTGGACCCGCAGGTGGCTACGCAGCGTGCAGTTGTGGGTGAACCTCTTCTGGCAGACTGTACAGCAGAACGGCTTCTCGCCCGTGTGGATCATCTGGTGGACCCGTTAATGTTTCTTGGTCAGAAGGGACCTGGGGCACCTCCTTGACATGTGTCCTTTGGTGACGTTTAAACGTCGACAGGTAGCGGAAGGCCAGGTGGCAATGGGGACACAGGTAGGGTCTCAGGCCCGTGTGGGTGCGCATGTGGACGTGGAGATTCCCGCGGTGGAGGAAACTTTTGTGGCAGACGGCGCACTCGTATGGATTGTCCTGGGTGTGGACCCGCAGGTGGCTACGCAGCGTGCAGTTGTGGGTGAACCTCTTCTGGCAGACTGTACAGCAGAACGGCTTCTCGCCCGTGTGGATCATCTGGTGGACGCGGAGGTCCGAGGACTGAATGAAGCCCTTGGAACACACAAGGCACTGGAAGGGTCTCTCTCCTGTGTGTGTCCTCCGGTGAATGTCTAACTGAGATTTGTAGCTGAACCTTTTGCTGCAGTCTTGACACTCGTAGGGTACCTTTCTCCTGGGTTCTTTGCCAACAGCGTGACCAGTGGGCTCCACGGTGCTTGACGCACCCACTGAATTGCACCCGTGCAGTCTGGTGACTTCTCCTCTGTCCAACGACACAGCTCCTTCTTGAGGCTCCTCTTGGGGCGTGGAAGTGTTGTCCCTTTTTCTCTTGGTGGCACCTCCTGTATTCCCAGAACCTCTTCTCTTTGGACGCTGATTCAAAGCCTGTGTCTCCGGAGCATGGGTGGGAGGTACATCACCGGCATCCACAGGCTCCAGGCCAATTCCTTCCTGCGGGTTCTGCTCCCCCTCTGTCTTCACCGAGTCTCCTGAAAGAAAGCATTCAACACACAACATTAATCAAAGAGCACTTTAAGCTCAGCTCAGGGACTGAGCACCCACCCAGGAACCAAGAGGTCGCCACCTCCACTCCATGTCAGGACACATGCCCGGGTTGTGGGGCTCGATCCCCGGTGGATGCCAGGCAGAAGGCAGCCAATTGATGATTTTCCCTATCATCCATGTTTCTATTTGTCTCCATCTCTCCTCCTCTCTCTCTAAAAATGAGTATAAGTGTATATATTTTATTAAAAGAGCACTTTTAACACTACCAAACGCCTTTGAACCAAAGCCGATGTAGGTTGTAAAACATTCCCATCAACCAACAAACCCGAGAATTTAGACCTTAGGGCACCCAAGAGTCTGTGATAGAGAAGGCTTGGCATTGAGAGCCAACCGTCCCCAATAGATGACCACGCTGGATGCCCAGGTGGGGACCCAGCAGAGGGGGCATCAATAATGAAGCATAGTAACCTCTATTTTGTGAAACTGCTGCTTGAAATGCTCTGCTATTTTCAGAGAGTCCCTTGTTCTGTAAGTCAACTCTGTCATTTTCAGAAGGTACGTTTTTCTGTAAATTAACATTGTTTTTTAGCTTAAATAGAAAAGATAAATGTAACTGTCTGACCTGGCAAGCTAGCTATCAAACCTAAGGGGCTGAGAAGCTGATACTGATAATATTCCCATGCCAGGTGTTTGTTAGATATGATTTGTACTCAAGATTACAAGCTGTCTGGAAAAATAACTTACAGAAAGACCTAGAAGGATATTAAAAAAAAAGGAATAGCCTTTCCTTTGTCTTCTCAGAATTTGACAAAGATATTCTGCTCTGAGCCTGCATGTCATAAAGACTCCTAACCAATTGGCTCATTAAGGCGTCTTGTATCTAGCTCGCTGATTTATGACACAATAATCATTGCTCTACAAGCCCAGTTTCCAAACTCACCAGGACTGCTGGGAAGCGGAGGCTCTGGAGATGTGAGTACTGCTGCCTCTTCCCTGTCTTCCATCACATCCTTCTCCAACTTCACCAAATTCTCCATGGGCCTCACACCCTCCAGATCAATTTTCGTGGGAATCGCCTCCAGCAAGAAGACTTTATGCCCCTGACAGTGGGTAACCAAGGGGGGTTAAACATGTTTGAAGCCAGGGGTGGCAAGCTCCTTCCCTCCTTCCCCCGTCCTGTCCATCTCCCTGACCTTAGACCCCAGCTTACCTAACACCACAGTTTTGTGGCTCTGCCTAGACTTCCTTGGGGCCAAGCCCATCACCCCCAACTCCCAAGTCTATCCTTATGTGGACCCATCACACCTTTACTTCAAGCTCATACATTACACTCCTTACACTTTTTGTTGTTGTTGTTGTTAATCCTCACCCCAGGATATTTTTCCCATTGATTTTTAGA